CTTGGGGAGGACCACTTCAAGGGGAGAAGGAGTGACCTAGAGAGGTGAAACATTTGTGGCTAGGTGGCAGGGTGGAAATAAATGAGTAAAGAAATAGAAACTAATGGTCCTACAGAATCAACAGTTTCACAAAATCAGAAGAGCAATCAACCCTTTTTCACTTAAAAAGATGAAAATAATGAAATTACACTATGCTATGCTTTAAAAAAAGTTACTTTCATAGGACACTAAGTCAACTACCCAGAACTGTTACTCCTGCCTATATAGAATAACTTCTTATTGCTGGTCAGGGTTTTATAATGAATAGAAAATAGCTAACATCAGAGCAATAAACTTTTACAAGAAGAAGAAAAGAAAACAACAATAAATTTCTGTGGTAAAAATCTATTCCTCAAAACACACAAAGCAAACATGAATGGAAGCAAAAGTAAAACAAAATGTCTTGAAACATTTTTTCAAAGAAGCATCTGTAGAATTAACTGCAGATAAATTGCATCTGAAATTAAACACAGATCAGAAATGACAAAATCAGGAAGCTGTCAAATGAGGGCTGATAGAGCTCTATAAAAGTACAAGTAAAAATCATTTGGGGAAATGATCACATTTTAGAGAGTTCAAATAATAATTTTCATAAAACCATTAAAATGCATTATTAAAATATAATAAAGTGCAATAAAATGCACGTTGACAAGCATGCATTGGCAAACAGAAATTTTAAAAAATGAAAATGAAATAAAAAATAGACAAAATGATGATCAGAAGAAGTGGGATGGAGGTAAACAGTAGACCAAGAGAGACAAATATTGTTATAATTAACATGTATGAAGAATAAGATAAATAAGTGAAATAGAACCAATCATTAAGACTATAATCTACGGAAACTTCCCCCAAATATAAAGAGAACCTGAATCTATATATTGACACTAACCATATGCAACTGGGTTAAAAATTTCCCAGGCATACTAAGTAAATTAATTGACTTTAGTATTAAAGGAAAAAATCCTCTGAACTTTCCATCCAAAGAGTCACCTACCTGAAAGAGAATTTGGCTGTAATCAGAATCCTTAATACCAATATAGAAGGAAGGGTAAGGCGAGCAACATTTTCAAAAAGTTCAAGGAAAGAAAATGCAAGTTGAGCATTTATTATATCAAAGCAATAGAAAAAACTGTTTAAAGATGAAAAAAAAAAGTAGGGACTTCTGTACTCATGAGGTCTGCTTGATGAAAATAGAAGAGAATAGTCTACAACCACAAAGGAATTCACTAGAAAGAAATGGTAAAAGGATGATCAGTGAGCTGTTAATATATTTAAACATAGATTTAAGACTAAAAGTAAGGAGATAGCATGCAGAATGTTATATTAAATGTTATATGTTCTAACAAAATGAAAAAAAGATCAGAGAAGAGAGGGGAAAAAAAAGGAGGAAAACTTAAATAACCTCACTGAGTAGTTGAACCTCATAGTTGACAAAGAACTTAAACCTACCAAAACTAGTAGAGACCTCCCCCACATAGAAAAAAAAAAAAGGAAAAAAAAAAAAAGAAAAAAAGAAAAGCTATTGGGTACTTACCATAGAAGGCATAAAAGGAGTAAAGGAGTAAAAATGGGATGATTAAGAAAGCCTTAAAAAAAAGCATGGGCAAATGTATCTTAGAAAGTACAAGTAAAATTTATGATAAATAATTACACATCAACAGACACTTTAAAATAGGAAAGGCTTCCGCTCTCAATGAATACAAAGTAATTTTGAATATCAGCATTTCCAGAGGCACCTGGGTGGCTCAGTCGTTGAGCATATGCCTTTGGTTTAGGGTGTGATCCTGGGGTCCTGGGATTGTGTCCTGCATGGGGCTCCCTGCAGGGTGCCTGCTTCTCCTTCTGCCTGTGTTTCTGCCTCTCTCTGTGTGTGTCTTTCATGAATAAATAAAAATAAAATTAAGAAAATATATCTAAATTTCCAGTAACACAAAAAGCAACTAGTTAAAGCAGAAACTACAAGAAATTGAAGAAGGAAAGGCTGAAATACACTCATATTAGGAGACTAACATATCACTGAGTCAAAGACAGGTCAAATGGGCAAAGAATAAGTAAGATACTACAACTCAAATTAGATGAATATATATACAAAATGTTCAAAGTGATAATAGAGAATATATTTCTGAAGCTTACAGAGCATTCTAGAAAATTTAATGTGCATTAAGTAAAAAAAAAAAAAAGAAAAGACTTCAAGTTCTAAAATGTAGATACATTACAAATAGTATTTTCTGGTCACAATACGAAAAACTAGAAATTAATATTATAGCAAAAGAACAAAATATCATTCTACATAGATTTTAAAAATTCTTTAAGAGAGAGGCAGCCCCAGTGTACCCCCTTCAGCCCAGGGTGTGATCCTGGAGACCCGGGATCGAGTCTCATGTCGGGCTCCCTGCATGGAGCCTGCTTCTCCCTCTGCCTGTGTCTCCGCCTCTCTCTCTCTGTGTCTCTCAGGAATAAATAAATAAAATCTTTAAAAAAATCCTTAAAGAGAAATTGGTGAAAGAGAAATACAAACCCAACTAACAGTATTTATATTAAAAGTAATTATTAAAACACTTGGTATCAAAATCCATAAGTTAAAACTGAAACACTGAGTAGAAGAAAATCCATATCTTTGTGTTATATGTACAAACACATATCAGTAAAAACAAGACAAGGAAAACAAATGGGAAAAAAATCTCAAGTAATAAGTAGGAAAAATTTAGTAAACTTAAAATGAGGAAAATAATATCAATAAAAGCAGAAATTAATACAGTAAGAAAAAAAGCAGTAGCTAAATATACATGCACATATATATATACAACATATATAATCAAATATATACTTATGGATATATATACATAACTATATATACATGTGTATTTGTACATATAATACATATATATTTGTGTTTAGATGATAGACTGAAAAAAATAACATAATACACAAGCCATTACCTAATATGTAACAATAGAAAAACAATAAATTACAAATATTTACAGAATAAAAAATGAAAAAGAAAATCATTTAAATAGAATATATTGGGATGCCTGGGCGGTTCAGCAGCTGAGTGTCTATCTTCGGCTTAGGTTGTGATCCTGAGGTCCTGGGATTGAGTCCTATCGGGCTCCCTACAAGGAGCCTGCTTCTGTCTCTGCCTCTCTCTGTGTGTCTCATGAATAAATAAATAAAATCTTTAAAAATAAATAAATAGAATATATCAATATCTTATGAGTATTTTGCATAACTCTATGCAAATTAACTTAAAATCTAGATGAATGTCTTGGAAACCTAACATTAAAAATTGGCAACAATTTTGAGAGATAATTTTTAGATATTTAGAAAGAGAAATGGTTTAAACACAAGTTTCTACAGAAGAGAATAAAGAAAAAGTAAAGTTTAATTTGTTTTATTTAAGCAGGTGAACGATTATATCTAAACATGATAAAGACAACATAAAAGGCTGACTCACTGATAAATATAAGCACAAAATTTCTAGATAAATATTAGCCTGTTAAAAAGAATATAGAGAAGTAATATAGCATGACCATAAATCTGGGATCCATTCTAGAAATTTAGTTCACTCATGATTCAATATTAATAAATATATTAATGTAATTAGTATAATAGACCTATACAAACATAGCATCTGCAAAGAAACAGAAAAGACCCAAATTTAACATTGTTAATATTAATACATACATGTACATCATACATACCAACATAGAGAGTTAGAAGGATGAAGTGTTATAACTGTTGATGACTCTAGAGTGACAAGCATGTGAGTGATGATATTTAACAATGAGTCTCCCAACATTTCTGTAAGTTGGGAATGTTAAAGAAATGGAGGAAGAAAATCCTAAAACATTTTCAAAAATCTGATTTAAATCAATGTGAGTCATCTTTAAAATAGCAAAGGCATTGACCTACTTTTATTTTTTTAAATCTGAGTTCCGGAGACAATTTCTAGGAAAGAAATTTTTCTTACATGTCCGTGAAGTATTCATAGAATCAAGACCACTAAGAAGCAGTTTTGCTGAAACATTTTCAAAGTGTGTCTATCTCTGAAAATTTGAGGCTGCTTCAGGTTATCCCAGTGAGATTATACTAACCACCGATACTTACCCTCCTGACAAATCCAGCTGACTAGCTTGAGTATAAATGTTTAATGTTTGTTTTACAGTCTATTTTACAACCAAATTATATAACACTACTTAACACACATCTTCAGAGTAGGTTATGCTGTCCAAATGTGGTTAAGATTATGGGATTTTTTTTTTGACCAAAACATTGTTACAAATTTAAATGATAAACGAATAAAAATGGTTAAAACATGAGATAGAATTCAGCAAATTCTGATATTTATAGTATCTTATAACATCATGAAAAGACACTCTTTGTATTTTAAGTTATATTTTATAAATTTTGTTCTTGACTTTTCATATAATTTGATATAATTCAAATTTCTACAATAAGTAATGGAGCTCACTGTCACTAAATAATATCACAGCATCATGCTCCTAGTTTATGAATAGGCTTTTCCCTTTGTCCCTAATTATCCTTTTTATGCTTGTTTGTGCTCTTTCCTTTATTGTAGTTTTTTGTTATTTCTTTTTCTAGATGAGCAACCAAACTTTCAGTAGTAGATAGAAATTCAAGCAAAATATTTGTATTTATTAATATGCAGAAAAATGGGGGAAAAGATGATTTATTCCTCCTTTCAGCTTCCACAGTTTAAATAAATACATTGTTTAGTGAGAGGAAAAGGATTTTGGGAGTTTGATGGTACAAAATCCTGAGGACGGTTCTTTAAATAAAATCTCCTCAATTCAAACTCCTCTCTTCCTATACTTACTTATGAGAATCAGAGAAATTGAGCAGTGTGAAGAAGAAGAGGCAGGAATGACCTCTTCTGGCCAGAGCCAAAGCCGTGCATCCCCCATCCCTGGGGCCAGTGCTTACATCCCCGCCGTGGCCCCATGCCCAAGAGAAAGGCTGAAGGAGAGGCTAAAGGAGATAAATCCAAGGTGAAGGATGAGCCACAGGGAAGATCTGCAAGGTTATCTGCTAAACCTGCTCCTCCCAAGCCAGAGCCCAAGCCTAAAAAGACCCCTGCAAAGAAGGGAGAGAAGGCACCCAACGGGAAAAGGGGGAAAGCTGATGCTGGCAAGGATGGAAATAACCCCGCAGATAATGGAGACCAAGCACAGAAAGCTGAAGGTGCTGGAGATGCCAAGTGAAGTGTGTGCATTTTTGTTAACTGTGTACTTCTGGTGACTGTACAGTTTGAAATACTATTTTTTATCAAGTTTCATAAAAATGCAGAATTTCGCTTTACTTTTTTTTTTTTTTTAAGCTATGTTGTTAGCACACAGAACACTTCATTTTTGTTTTTGGGGAAGGGCATGTGTCACTAATAGAATATCTCTAAAGCTAGAATGATCACAAGGGGAAAAACACCTTTCCCTTCTAGTTTTGAGAAACTTCCGCTTGGCTCCCAAGAGGATGATGGATTCCTTGATGTTGACACACATGAGCCACGTTGGTGGTGTGGAAAAACTAAAATTCATTTTTTTTGTAATGTCCTCTTCTCCCTCTCTGCCTTCAACATAGACTTGACTCCCTTAAACCCAGAGACCTGTTGGAACCTGACCCCAAGAAATGGTTCCCAGTATGTCAGGCAATCTGGACTTTACAGTGTCACCACTGAGATGGCATCCCTCAAAAGAGTTCCTTTTTTAAGCTTGTGGATCTTCAGATTGATAATTCTGCCATTTTCATTGCATTTCCTGAAAGTCAAGGTCGGCTTGTGAAAAGTTGTTAAACAACATGCTAAATGTGAACTGCCAACCCCCACTCTAAACTTTCCCTGTTCAGAGCATCACATGAAGACTTCATTGGGTTTTAGAGTGGCTTTCTGATTTTGGTAGCCCATTGAAGAAGGGAGTTTGAAAGTTGTTGTATCCTGTTAACGATCGTCCGCCCTTGTCCTGCCTGAAATACCATGATTGTTTATGAAAAGTATCTTTAATAATGGTGGATACAGTTTGGATTAGAAAAAAAGAAAAGAGAATCAGAGAAATTGATCAATATCTTATTAGGACTTCTTTACCATATAACATAACAAGGTTTAAGAAGTATCCTTTCAGCCACATACTTTGAAGCCAACATATTCCTATTTTCTGGAGGGTATTCATAGTTCCTTTCTCTCCTTCGAGTCATCAGGTTTAAATGGAAAGACCACCTGAGTGGGAGCTGTGGGATGGAGCTGTCAATTCTGGCTCTAAATGAATTAACTGTTACTTGAGACTAAGTCATTTCATTTCTTTTACCTTATATCAGACAAAATCTGAAGTTTGAGACAATGAATGAGACTGTGTGTATGTGAAATTTTAGAACTCCAGTGAAAAAGAATTCAGTGGCTTCAAAGGAATTTAATTTTAAATCAAAATTAATTATTCAAGCAATCTCTTAGGAGGCTGGCTAAGTATCAAATGTGTATGTAAAATTTGTCAATTTCTTTCTTTATTTTTACATATATTTTGTAGTTTATTCATCCTCTGACACTATAAATAATCTTTAGAAAGAATAATTTAAAAAATAACATTAAAAAGGTGTTAGGACTGAAAGAAGTTATGATGATATCTGTTAATAAAAGGCAGAATTTACAATGACTAATCAGTTGCGTTGATAAAATAAATGATGTAAAAATATGTTTTATCTAGTACAATTATTGGGCTATAAAATTTACTGGGGCTATTATCTTATAGCTTTATTTTATTGGAATGATAAAAATAAAAATAAATCCATACATTTTTGGTTTAGAAATTACTGAAATGAAACTTTCTACCATTTAATTACATCTTTCAAAGGACTATAATCTCTTAATTGCCGTGAGCTTCTCTTTTATCCTAGTAATTGGCATTCATGCACATTGCATTCATATTAAATTTTTCATGTCAGAAAGTAAGACTGACTGCTGAATTAGATGCTTTCCAAAAGTAAAGCTTCTGCTCTTTTAGTTTATGATATATAAATCACATTGAATATCCCATCAAATATCACGCTTTGATGGGGTTAATCTATATGTTAATGATTTCCCTATTTTCTGTGATATCCTGGCCTTTTCATTTACTTAATACACTGTACTTGTGCAGTTTATATTGTTTAAAAAGGAAATGTGCAAGTTAGTGAAAGGTACAGCATACTCTTTGATGACAGGGTAATTACATTCTGTAAAATTTGTGTTTTAAATGCTATTAATACATTCAAATTAGGTTAAAAAGCTCCTTTGAAAGGGGGTTTGTCTGTAATAGCAAGACTTCGTATAGAAACTGCAAACAAATCACAACATGGGCATAAGAGAGGAGTAAGTACTCTGTATAAAACTATTGCATGGGGACTAGATGGGGTTTATTGTATTTTAACAATCGAAGAAGACAAGCTCAGAGATTTTAGATAATATGTTTAGCTAGCTAACTATACTATAAACACAATTCTATATCCAGAATAGTAAAGCCTCAGGGATTTTCCAAAATCTCTTCACAGTTGGACAGATACAAGGCAGGTATATAAGAAATAAGGTGGCAAAGAGAGCGGCTGGGTCATTATGAAGATCCTTCCCTTTCTGGAAGCGTGTAATGTAAAAAAGGCACAGACAATAAGAAAATGAGGCATAAGAAAATGAACGGAGTCAAAGAGACTTTTCAGTAAACCAGTCATTGAAACTCAAGGTAGGTCTTTATCTTAGAAATCAATGACATAGACCCCTAAATAGAATGCCCAAGTTTACTCTACACCTTATTTCTATGTGTACTCTCTTGGTTGAGCTAATTTCAAACTTTTTTTTAAAGATTTTATTCATTTATGAGAGACATACACAGAGAGAGGGAGAGGGAGAGGCAGAGATGCAGGCAGAGGAGGAGCAGGCTCCATGCAAGGAGACTGATGTGGGGGACTTGATCCAGGGTCTTCAGGATCACGCCCTGGGCTGAAGGCAGGCGCCAAACCACTGAGCTACCCAGGGATCCCCAATTTCAAACTTTTTATGTCTTGGTTTCCTAATCTGTAAATGGGGATGTATATGACTATGTAGTAAGTTTTTGATGTATGTGAAGATTAAGTAAGCTGATGCATATTCAATGTTTAATACATTGGGACAATGAATATGAGTCAATATTGCCATTATTAAAATAACTTTGGGGACATCTATAAACTTCACATTACGCTAAATGTACGGATATTGGCACCTAAAATTTTCCTCTCTATGCTCAGAATTGGCCGAGTTAAAACAAAATAAACAAAAGTCATGTGTTTATTTCTCAGAATAAATGCACACAACAGGAAATATTTGATTGCTTTGCTCTTAACAAATTTGAAGTGAATTGTGTAGCTAATTTATTCCTATAGCAGTATAGTCATCATACACTTCCAAATCTCTGAAATGACTGAAAATTTTTAATTGAGATTTCCTTTATGTTTCTTAAAAATTTTATTATTTATTTATTTATTTATTTATTTATTATTTTTAGCCAAAAATTTATTTTTTAAAATTATATAGTTAGCTGTGTTTTCCTTCTAATAACTTAAAACATATCAACCTCTGGTAAATCTCATTTGGCTTTCTCTCTTCTTTTATCAAAGAATATGTACTCTTACCCAGATGGACTGCTTCCTTCCAGCTTTTTTGCTAAGTGTTTACATTACACAGGTGTGTTGGAAGGAGGGTGATGTTTTTCTATGCAAAAGGTTTCATACTGCTTGAAACTTTCTGCTAATTTTTCACTTAATAATATATTTCAGGACTATTTCTCTGTAGTATAGATTTGTCACTTTTAATATTCCTCCAAAATTCTTAACTGACAACACTTCTTGTCTGTGCAGACCACATGTAATCTGTCTTTCTGATCCTCAAATTGTCCAATTCAGTTAAACATTGACCCTAGACCAAAATCCAGAAATCTTTCCTAAACAGAACTCATTCTGGTTTTATAAAATTAGTTGTTCGGATATCCCTCCTACTTCTTGAGTAGCTCAAGTAGCTCTTGAAAACAGATTTGGGGTATTAAGTGACAAAAGTAAAACAATTTATGACACGTTGGTTGCCCTTTATTCAAGAGACATCAATCCATGAGTTCAGAGGATACAGTGCCTCACAAGCAGTGGAGCACCCTGGCTGAGAGATTTGGGGCCAGAGCAAGATTTATAGAATGTGAGAAGAGGCGATGCATAAACAGGACGTGATTGGCTAAGACGTTGAAGATTTCCTGATGAGGCCAGCAGGCCCTATTTTCTAATATAAGCTAGCTAAAGCTAAATTGGAGGATTGTGGTTGGTGTTAGGTTTCTCCCACAGTGAGGCTTTTCCCGTCAGTGCAGGCTGACTTAGGTTTTGATTTGTGATGTGGTCTGAGCCACTGGGACAGTCTCCATTTTATGGATCTTGACATACGAATGAACTGTAACAGGGAAGGGAGGAGCTTGAGGAGAAGCATGGCTCTTGTGAACTCAAGAAATAAGGAATAATTAGGGTCTCTGGGCATATCCTTCTGCACCTCCTTTGGTCTCTAGAACAATGATGCTTGTCTCCTGAGTGGTTTTTTTTTAGCCTTGGAGGCATCCATAAATAAGATCTAAGGAAAAGATAATTTTTCAACTTTTTTTTTTTTTTCTCACATTATAGCCTATCAATACTCTGACTTCTCCCCTACTAAGTGTTTGTGCATCTAGTCTCTAGGTCAGAGATCCAGTGCCTCTCTCTTCTGTAGGTTCATCTCTTGCAACTCTAGAGGTACCCTGACAGGTTCATTTCCTCTCAATTTAATGTCTGCAGTGCAAATAGACTGAGGGTGACGTAGGAGAGAAGACCCCAAGGCCTTCTCTCTCACGGACTCTTCTGCACAGGCAAGTGAATGTAGGTACTTAGGAACACGATTCAAACAAGTTGACACTCTAGATAAATGAGTAGTGGACCGTGTGCTAGTGGACAATTCTTGGCAACCCCTCCCTCCTCACTTTCTCTTCCTTTTTATTTGCCCTAATTCGTAACACCAATAGTCTCTTCTCTCTTCAAGAGATAAAGGTGATATATGTGGAAGCAGTTCATTCTCCACACTACAGCAAAGCTCTAACCTGAGTTTTCAAAACCCTTACCTCATTAAGGAGAGAGAAAAACAGAGTTTGGGTTGTTTTTCTCTCAAAAACTCTCTTCCTCATAAGTAATCTTAATCTTGCATTTCAGA